TGTTCCTCTCACCTTTTTTTCTTCTTAATACCCTAAAAGATACAGTAAGTAGATCCTCAAAAGGTCTGGACTCATATAATAATTACTTTCAGACCTGAAGGTGTCTTTGATGAAGCTTTACTACCATATGAACCAGGCAGACGCCAATGACAATATGTGCTACAAGCTCACTGCTACGTAAAATGGTCTACAAAATCACTGCTAGGGTGTAAGTTGCAACTAAAAATGTACTATGGACCACAAAGGGCTCTCTAAATTGTTTTTCCAGAAATATCTATTCTGCCCATTAAAAGAGGATCATTGGAAATTTAATGGGGGATTTCAAGTTTTTCAAGGAAAGAATGAAGGTTACTGGCTGGAATTTCTAAAGGGGTGCAGGGGCAGTGGGGGGGGGNGGGGGAGGTTTCTGAAACAACACACAGTTCAAAATTATAAATGTTCTTTCATATATTCACTTGTAACAACATGTTAACATCAGATAGATAGAAGGTAATTAGGTTAAGTGTGTTCCAATCCAAAAAATCTGAGAACAGCTGATTTTTTACAGCACTAAGGCAAGTTTAGTAGCATAGTAAGGTTACTCTAGATGCTATTTGTGGGGCGAGCAAAATNAAAAAAAAAAAATCTTTCAAAGTAGTCAGTGACACTGTTAGGTACTTCACATAATAATCACTTTAAACTTATCAACATTTAAGCCGGAAAATTAACGTAAGTTAAGTTACATGACATTAATTTTCCTGCTTATATGTTTTTTGAAATCGTTTTCTATAAGAAACTAATCAACGTTTTGAGATTTAAAATGATTTTCTAGACTTGCAGTTTCTATACCCATTTCAGTCCCCTAGTCAAATGTATTCAAGGACTTGTGAACAAAATACAAGGACTACTAAAACAGTACTGGTCAAATGAGTAGTTTGGCACACACAAGAGGACAATTCTAAGCGACAAGTTCCTTGAAGAGTTCACACAAGGGGACTGGTCGCAGAGGAATAGTCCCTTGAAGTGTTTACGTGCGTAGATTATGTATTGCACAGACACATATGGCAAAAGGTAGCATCCGTTCAAGCTGCAGCTTTTCCAAATTGAAACTGAAGTTATAAAATTAACAAATGAATGTAGCATTGAAATAAATCAGAACAAAAAAAGGGCAGATTGTTCAGCTATTACTCAGTGCTTGTTTTTGTCTCATTTCGAGATAACAGAGTTGTTAATTATTTTTAAAAATTCTATCAGAATATTCTCATGGTAGGAACACTCCGTACAGCTGCTTTTCCAACATCAAAATCATCTTCCCAAGCTGAGCCGTGAGCCAACATCTCAAAATACAATTCATAATGACTTTTGGGAGCTTATCATGAGGATCTGTGATTGGTTTAATTTAATTTGGTTGTGGGGACTTGTCCCAAGAACAGTTCTCGTGAAGAATTTTGAGGGTCCGACAAGACACAGGGACTTGCTCCCTCATTTAAAACTACGCACACTGTAGTTTGAATCTGTTTGATGAAACTCGGACCACAAAACTCAGTTCTCAAAAGTATCATAGACCAAGTTTCTGTATTGAGTTTCAAGTCAAGACTGAACTTACATTTCACTACTACCATAACAGTTGATGGATGTTTCAACAAAAATTCTCCTTTTTATTTTCAAGCACTTTCAAGGCCCTCGCAAACCATGTCTTTGGATTTTAGTGACTACCCAGAGCTTCACTGTCAATGTACCAGGTTAATTCTCCAGCAACTGGATGAATTCCACTTACTGGATAGTTCCAGGTATCTACATCACCACTTGAAATTGTCTTCACTATTTCCTTTTTTTGATCACCGAGAACAAGAACTGCTACAGTTTTTGCCCTGTTAAGGAAGCTTAATGTCATTGTCATTCTTTGTCTGATGTTATTGTCATGGCCACTTTCTGAAAGACTTATCCATCTGTCTGTCAGGTTAAGAACTTTTTGACGTGGAAACAGAGATGCAGTATGTCCATCTGCACCAATACCAAGAATTACAAAATCTAACTGATCTGTTCCAAGAGACCTCTTGAGTTCTGCCTCATAGTGCTCAGCCCCTTTATCATCCAGATGACACAGTCCACTTTTTAACATGACATTCATGTCATGAGTATTAAAGGGGGAAACAGGGACATACTGCAAGAGTTTGTGGTAAATTAAGTTAAAATTGGATTCTTTGCTGCTAATTGGCACACATCGCTCATCCACAAGCCATATGTGGGTGTGTTGCCATGGGAACTCTTTGGCCATAAAAGCAAGGGTTTCATATAGTATCACAGGGGATGTGCCACCTGACAAAGCCAAGTGAAATACTCCTTTCAGAGCAACAGCCCCAAGAGCATGGTCTATGATTTTGTCTGCTAGAGTTCTTATAACTTGGGATTTTGCTCCAGTCACTAGAGCATTTCCTCTAAACATCTTTCTTTTGTAAATGTGATTGTTTGATGTTTTAGACGATTGACAAAGTCCAGTTGCACCACAACTTCCATCAACCTCACTCCACAAAAACTGAACTCTTTCTCCTGATGTAACAAAATTTAACACATCCAAGTTTTCCTGGTCATACTGGCGTGGCACAACACCATTCATACTGTCTAAAAACTGCGACCAGACTTTCCAGGAAGATAACAGGTCTTCAGTTCCAACAAATATGTTCCTTTGTTCATGATACACAGCAGATATTAGTGTTGTGTATGCATCAGCTGCGCTGTCTTGAATGAAAGTATCAAAATTGTTGACAAAACAACCAAACAGTTTTTGCATTTTGTTTTCAGCACTTGTCAATGGAGAAAATAATTTGGGCTTGGGAAGAAGTCCTGAAAGATATATACCAGGTTTTTGAAGTTTTTCTCCTTGGATATTAAAGACAATCTGTCTGACATCACATCTATCATCATTGACTGAGTTGGCATGCAGTTTATGAACATTGTCCTTAAAGATTAATCGTACATATGCTGTACGCTCCTCAAGCTGCTTTCCAGATACCAAAATGAAAGGAACACCATGCCATCTTGCACTGTTAATAAGCATTGTCACAGCAGCAAATGTTGGTGTATTGCTATTTTGATGTTGTTCAGTCTCCTGATGGTGGTGCATGCGATAGTCTCGGTACTGGCCAATAATCCCGCTCCATCTATTCATGGGTTTGATCTCTTTCAAAAGCCTTAGTTTGTTTTGCATGATGCTCTCTCTATCCCCAGAGCTCTTTGGTATCTCCATGGCAACCAAAGCAAGGAGTTCTGTCATGTGATTTTGCATCACGTCGCGGATAACACCATAATGGTCATAAAATTTGGTCCTACCCTTACAGTCGTTTTTCTCCTTCAAAACAATCTCCACCCTCTCTATGTGATCTTTGCTCCACAGATCTTTATATAAGTCCTGATTGTCAAAGCGAAACTGCAAGATCTGTGAAACTCCTGTTTTGCCAAGATAGTGGTCTATCCGATAGATTTCGTTTTCCTGAAAATATTGGGACAGGTTTTGAGCTAGCTCCATCGCAGAGGCCAAATCGGAGCCAAAAGGCTTTTCTAGAACAATACGCAGCCGTGTTTGTTTATCTCCACGCCGGCGACAGAATGAATCGATCCTTTTCGCGATGGCCGTGTAGGAAAATGGAGGCACTGACAAGTAAAATATCCGACCCTTCTCCCTTTCGTCTGGTGCCATATTATCCGTAATGATCTTACACAAAGATGAGTAGTCTTGGTCATCTTTTAAACGATGATATTGCTTGACACTTTCATCCACAAATCTCTCCTTCTCGATACTACATAAGTGTTCGCCTTCAGAACACTTCAAAGACTCTTCTAAGATGTGATCAATCTTCTTTTGACCTAACTCAAATTTATCACGAGCCGTAGGGTAGAATCTTAAGGTGTTTCCGTCATTTGTTTCCTGGATAAAAAGCCTGAAAAAGCCTTGCCACAAGTATCTTTTCGCGAGGTCTCCACTGGCGCCGATCAACACGATATTAGTCACATTTCGGTGATACAATTCAGATTGCTGACTATTTGTTGCGGAAATTTGTCTAGTGGAAAGTGAGAGTAGGACTATCGAAGTGAAATAGGCACTAACCAACAATATTCCTCGATATTTAGCTGCAAATAACGTGTTGGAAAACCCACTCCACGCCAGCGCCATATTGAAAATTTCAACTAGCCGAAGTCTCCACGCAGTCATCCGTTTCTGTAACGCAATATCCCACGTGGGGCATTGCGTGACAAAACAAAAATTGAAATAAATCTTATCAGGTTTTTCTTTATGTTACTACAGGTTTTCTTTTTGAGTTGAAAATAAAGGGATTTAAACAGATGATAGTGTTAGTGACACTTTATTATTTTCTTTCCTCACTTTTCACCGCGGCATGGTTTCCGGTCAACGTGACTCAAGCATGTTTAAAAGTCATTTACCAAAATAGCGTGCATTCCAAGGTTAATATTTCGGAAAGTGTTGAAGGCAACAACGAGATTAGTGGTAAATCAGCCAAGAGGAACTAATTAGGTGACCAATTAATTACTTGCGAAAGTAATGGTGCACGTTATTACGAGGAGCACAACAGACTGAATGCACTCGGTGGACGCGTGTGTTGAAGTTGTCGCTGAACACTGATGCACTCACATATGGCCGCCGTAGAAACGTTAACTAGTGAAGTCCTTCAGGGAGAATTCGCCGACGGCTTCGACAGTTTGAATTACAAGACCGCACTGGACAAAGGCCGTTCTTTATACCCACTTGCGTGCTTTAACAGGAAACCAATGGAGCGAACAAGTAATATAAACAACAACAATATTTGTGGAAAATCGCCGATACAAGAGTTCACTTCAGATGGAGCTTTCCCTGCCCCCACACATGAACAGCGCTGTTGCGACGAATTTGCCGATGTAAACAGCGCGACGCTTTCAACACCAAGCCATCACCCTTTTAATTCTACAGAATGGTTTGAAGATTTTACATTTGAAAAATCTCCACCCGTCGATTACGCGGAGCCAAAGTCACCCAAAACTACCTACGAACGAAGTGCTTCAATGAAAGAAAAGGAAAGCGAAAGTTTGGCTGAAAATACTAACATGGTCGCTTTGGCAAAGAACGAGCCTTTAAGTCTAAAGGAAAGGATTTCCAATATTGACTTGAGTATAGAATGGCTAAAATGCGAGTTGACACTAATGCGAGCTCAAGATTTCTCGTTAAAACAACAGTTTGAACAGCTTTTCAAGGAAGTAATGGAATTTAAACTACGGATAGAAATGGAGAAGGACGATGAAGAACAATTCATCGAAGAGGAAATGTCATTTGAAGCAGAGTCCGACTGACTTCCAATCGTTACGAGTAATTTTGCTTATTTACTGCTTGTACATTTTGCCTTCAATACTAACACGAATATATCATAATTCTACCAGTTATTGTTGTAGCAATAGCAGGTTTGTGGGAAGAAATATTTCTTGGGTTCTTTGTTTACTGTTATGATATCATTAATTAAAAAAAGTTACACTCGGGTACGGGTCGCTGCAGATTAATTACCGCAGGGAATTCCATGCTACCGGATATCTAGGAAGGGGAAGCTCCCACAAACAGAATAAGAGTGCTGAATGGCTCCAACTAGTGTGATGCGAATTCAAGGGCAACTTGATTCTGCTGGATATCCACAACAAGCCAAAAATCCAATATTTCTTCGCTAGGCCAGGTTGCTATGTGCGTGAAGTGCTAGCTGATTTTAGACTGCGAAAGTATACCAGCGAGGGTATCTCGCGTGGGAAGAAAGCGTGGTCGCGCGCGCTTTGCGTATGCGCGAGGAAAGAGAGGAGATAGGTCAGTTAGGCTTTCACTGATGTACTCATTGTTTTACATTTCGCTCAGTTTTATAGAAAAAAGGAGGCGCAACTGATTTTTTCTATTATGAGTTATGTCTTTTCTAAATCTTTGTCAATGTGAAAAAGTTCAAAATTGTTCATTTTTCAGCAGACCATAAAAATTTCTACTGGGAATAACAACTCCCACTCTTCGAAAAGTTGTGCAACTTGTGTCATTAAATTATTTATAGAGTTTTGATGTTTACCTTTATATGACTAGAGAACATTTTTGCGGTTTACTTCGTTTTCAGTCAGATAATTTTAACATGCATTGCTGTTACGTGTACCTGAGCTCAATTTACGGACGCTTAGAGCTTTTTCTACATTCTGGCCGCGCGCAAGTTTGAGCGAGAGAAAAAAAAAAATCGATGATACACTTTTTTGCTCTCGCAATTGACGTAGTATGTTGCAAAAATGACCACATAATTACCAGTTCCCAGCTGGTGTGATAGCTCAGTTGGTAGAGCACTGCGCCGGTATCGCAGAGGATCTCATTCAGGTCTTCAAGCCTCTTACGAGAGTTGCTCGGGGGGAGGGGGAGGGGGTACTCCAAGATAAAATTGGTAGGGGTGTGCGGCCCGCTTTCCAAAACACTTACCCTATTTATGACCAAAATCTATGATTTTCAATACCCTGACCCTAAATCAATACCCTGTTTCAGACCTGCCTTATACTTAGTTCCCTAGTTCAGACCGACGTTAAAGGCATCGTGAAGGGCGTTTTTTGATTTTGTTAATCGGTCTTATCGATAAAGACTGATAATGATGAAGAAGTGGCTTCTTCTAAAAACATACCCAATCAAGACTAGACTGCAAAAATCGATACCCTATTTATGACCAACACGGCTGAAAAACCCTAAACTTTGGGGCCGCACGTACCTATATAGCCCGTATAAGGGAGTACCCCCATCCCCGGGGAAGAGTTGCTCCACTATCTTAATCTACCATAAATTTCCAAAATTCACGGTCCTCGTTACTTTCGGAATTAGCAGCCTTTGGGGAAATTCTATGGTTTTTGTTTTAAAATGGCGTAACATGAACTGATGAAGCAAGAAGTGACAACGCTTTGTGGCATTAGCGATACCTTCCCTTATTGTAGAGTGCCTTTAGTACCGTCGTAATTTCGGTATTTTCGGGATCGAGTGGGCTCGCTTCTTTCGGGGGTCGCTACTTTTGGAGAATACAAAAGCAAAAACCGATACAACGTGGGATGATATTTTGAAGGTGTACTATATTTCGGCTGGCCAAACCAGCCTTCTTCAGGTACAATGAAAATTTTACATTCCCAATGTACTAATGGGGTTTATTAGCGGGAACAATTTTTTGACGCACTTTCGGGGGTCGTACTTTGGGAAGTTTGCGGTATCTTATCAGACCTCAGGAAATTGTTTAGGTTACAGTTCTTTTAATATCACTCGCTTAATACGGCCATAGTCATTCCTTTCATTTAGGCTGACAACTCTTCCATGTCCTTCCAGAGTGCTTTCGGATGAGCAACACGTCCGTAATGGCAGTCAGAATTCCGACAGGGTAATGATCTATTCTCCCGTTCCAAATGTAGTCGAAATCAAGCAAATTCTGCAGAACTGACTCGCAGTCAACGCAATTAAATGCAGTGGCGGATCTAGGGGAGGGGCGCGGGGGG